TGTAACTAACTTTAACATATACTTTCTGAGTTGGTCATCATTCTGTGACTTTTTTTTTTTACTTATTGTAAAATGCTATATAGAATGCTGCAGCATTTTCTTAAAGTGTTCTATGAATGTTGTAGCATTTTATTTTTAAAATGTTATATAGAATGATGTAGTATTTTCTTTAAAATGTTGTATAGAATACTGTAGCATCTTCTTTAAAATACTATATAGAATGCTGTAGCATCTTCTTTAAAATACTATATCGAATGCTGTAGCATTTTCTTTAAAATGCTATATAGAATATTGTAACATTCTGAGCATAAGTTCCTTTCTCTTAAAAAACTATATCATTTTTTTAAACTTATTGTAATGGCATAAATTCTGGTTTCCACTTTTGAACATAGAAAAGTATTTATACTTCAAAAATAATTCCTTTTCTAAAACATGAATTTACACATAGTTATACTTTTGCTTCTCAAAATCCTGCTAGCTTACACAAACTTAACAATCATACTACAAACTTTCAAAACACAAGTTCATAGACATATTCAACAAAATCTTTTTAAAACCTTAAACTGTTGCAGAAATAACTGTGTGCGGTATCCATTCCCCGACCTCCACTCCGCTCGTCCGCTGCCTCGCTATCAGTCCATCAAACATTATGTGCAGGTTGCCTACCTACAGTATAAATACTCTGAAATGAGCTTACGCTCAGTAAGTAGGAACTATTACTCACAAAATAATAGAAAGTTCACATGACGATATATGCATGAACTGATTATGCTGACTTATGATGTTTTATCATAGTTTTACTATCTGAGCTTATCTTATTTACGGATGGATCCGAGTGCTCGTACCACTTGCGCGCAATCATCGGGACGTGAGGGGTTGTAAGGTCCCCAACGACACCGTGATTATAAACTGAACTGAATGACTCCTTCTCAGAGGACTTTATTATATATTTTTTCTTCTCCCTTGCGGAGCCTGAGTTACCTCCCTCTGAGAGGCTGGTACGGCACTCAACTAAGTTTCTTCTTATAAGTTCTTCTTGACTTATTAAGGTGTATGCAATATGACATAGCATAGCATACTATAACATGGAATGTACTCAAACACATATAATTCATGTGCACTGCTTAAGTGTATGCAGTATGACATAGCATAACATACATAGCATTAAATGTACTCAAACACATATAATTCATGTGTACTGTTTATTTTAAAATCTATTTATACTGTAGGCGAGATTCCTACTTACTTCTTTTAGGAAGTGAAATCCTCTATTCGCCAAAGAGTCTATTCTCTTTCTTTCTTGTTTTTGAGAATAAACACCGACTAAGAGTGTGAGATTAACTATCACTTGCTATTCTATTTTAGCAAGCTTGTAAGAAAGTCTAACTTATCTATTTATGGCTCATTTTCTCTTTTTCTATCTTAAGGATTGTAAAAGCTTGTTTCTAACTTAAAGATTAGGTTTATCAAATCCCCAGAACCTTATTTTTCATTAAACAAGGTTCAAACTCAAAATATTTTCTTGAGATTATACTTCGAGTTCTTTAACGAACTCCTCTGTTTAACACCAAAGCTGTTTTAACAGTTATGTAGTGTTTTTCTAAGAAAATAGTTTAAAACTTCTATTTAGAACTAAAATCAAGTTTAGCCTCAAATTTTAGAACTAAAATTAGGTTTAACTTCAAGCTCTCAAACTAAATTTCGGTGGAGTTTCGCCTTATTTTTCTATGTTTTCCGAGCTAACTTTAGCTCGTTTCATCTATTACTTCATCTTCTAATAAAACTAACAATCTTTCTCATACAATTTAATCAACTTAGGAACCATTCGCTAGGGTTCCATCAAATTTCTCACAAGGATTTCATATTTAAAAGTTGCTAGAAACATAATCTAACAATCTAAAATTGATCCTTTAAACACAAAGCTTTCAATTCCTTCATCAATTGAAACTCAATCATCAACTTAGCAAACTTTCTCCATAATCTCTACCAAATCTAAACCATTCGGCCAAGGTAAGAAAAAGGAGAGGAAAACTAAGGGCCTGTTTGTTACCGTTTTTGTTTTCATTTTTCACGTTTTTGGAAGCAAAAAATTGAAAACAGAAATGAAAAACGCGTTTGGCGAAGTTTGTGTTAGAAAACAAAAACAAAAACGTTTTTGTCTTTTTGTGAAAAACTGAAAACGAAAAAAATACGTTTTCATTTTCACGTTTTCGTTTTCTGAAAACGGATTTCAGTTTTTTTTTCTTCTCTCTTTTCTCCAGCTGAAGAAGACGCGGGAGAACGCCCACCGTCGCTCATCCAGCCGGCGTCTACAACTGCGCGCCA